AAAAGATGCAGTTTTTTTTTCCGGCAAACATTTCTTCCTTTCTTCCTTTCCTTTATTTCGTATTTAATTTTTCTTCATTCCGTGTGGGATACCTTCCTCTCGCATATATACATTTATCTTCTCCTTTCCCTTTCAATTTCCCAGATATTAATGATGCAGACAATGATGATTCTGACCCAGAGGTGGATTTTGAACAGCTCAGTTGTCTTAGGGAAATTGATGAATGTGACAATGAAGAAGAGTGCAACTTACCTTCTGAATTATTAAGGATGGTGGAAAGAGAAGACAAACAAATATTGCGACATGAAGAGAAAATCGAAGTTTTGAATTTGGGCACAGAAGAGGAAAAGAATGAAGTTAAAATTGGCACAAAATTTTTGTCTGAAGTAAGGCAAAGCCTAATAAACTTACTTCAAGAGTACAATGACATGTTTGTATGGTCCTATCAAGACATGTATGGGCTAGATATGAATATGATAGTCCACAAATTACCCATCAGGCCAGAATGCAAACCCATACAACAAAATCTCAGGAGGATTAGACCTGAAATGCTCCTTAAAATAAAGGAAGAAGTCAAAAAATAGTTTGATGCTGGCTTTCTTCAAGTTTCCAAGTATCCGGAGTGGGTGGCTATCATAGTGTCAGTACCAAAGAATGATGAAAAAGTGTGGACTATCGAGACCTTAACAAAGAAAGTCCTAAAGAAAACTACCCTTTGTTGCACATAGATACTCTGGTGGACAACACGACATGAAATTCTTTCTTTTCGTTCATGGATAGATTATCATGATATAACCAAATTAAAATGCATCTAGATGACATGGAAAAACCACATTCGTCATAATATGGGGAACTTTCAGCTACAAGGTGATGCCGTTCGGATTAAAGAATGATGTTGATGACATGATTGTCAAGGCACAAACTGAAAATGAACATGTCTAGAATCTGAGAAAACTCTTCCAAAGGATGAGAAAGTTCCAGTTGAGAATAAATCCCAACAAGTGTACCTTCGGAGTAATATTTGGAAAGTTGTTAGGCTTCGTGGTTAGCAGGAAAGACATTGAGATTGATCCAGATAAAGTCAAAGCCATACAGAATTTAACTCCCCCATGAACACAAAAAGAAGTTCGAGGTTTTCTGGGTAGATTGAATTATATTGTGTGATTTATATCTCAGCTGACCGACAAGTGCGACCCAATTTTCCTCCTCCTTCGAAATAACAACTATGGAACATGGGATGAAGATTGCTAGACTATATTCGAGAAAATAAAAGAGTATTTATCTCGTACTCCTGTCTTAATGTCTCTCATCCCGGGTAAACCATTATCCATGTATTTTTCCATCTTTGAGAATTCAATGGGATGTGTCCTGGGCCAACATGATGAGTCCGGAAGAAAAGAGAGAGCCATTTACTACCTGAACAAGAAGTTCACTAATTGCGATGTTAGATATTCACCCATTGAAAAAGTTTGAAGCGCTTTAGTCTGGGCTACACGAAGGCTCAGACAATAAATGTTGTACCACACCACTTGGTTGATTTCCAAGTTAGATCCGTTAAAGTACATGATGGGTGTGTCTGCTCTTTCTGGAAGGTTAGCCCGATGGTAGATGTTATTATCTGAATTTGACATTGAATATGTGAGCCAAAAGGCTATAAAGGAAAGTGTTATATCTGACTTATTGGAAAGAAGAACCTTTAAAACCTATGAACCACTAGACTTCGAGTTCCCAGATGAAGATTGATGGCCATGTCTTTAGAAGAAACGAGCACTTCCATATGTGACACCTGGAAAATGCATTTCGATGGTTCATCAAATGCGTTAGGACATGACATTGGAGTTATCCTGGTCTCACCCAAAGGAAATCATTATCTGTTCACTAGTAAATTAAACTTTGATTGCACTAACAACCTGGCGGAGTATGAAGCTTGTGTTTTAGGGATTCAAACTGCTATTGGACATAATATAAAGATCTTACGGGTATATGAAGATTCTGCCTTAATAATCTATCAACTCCAAGGAAAGTGGGAGACAAAAGATGTAAAGCTGGTGGAATACAAAAAGCTCATATTGGATATACTCGAAGAGTATGATGAAGCCACTTTCCATTACGTGCCTAGAGAAGAAAATCAAATGGTCGATACCTTAGTTACCTTGGCAGCAACATTCAAGGCTGAAGGGATGTCTGACATGATGCTAATTGACATGTAGTCATACGAGTATATGGCTAATTGTTACCAAACTGAAGAGATAAAAGACACTAAACCTTGGTACCACGACATTCTGCAATACATTAAAAACCAAAGCTATCCAGGAGAAGCCATCGAAACTGATAAAAGAACAATCAAAAGGATGACAACCGTATATGTTCTTGATGAGGAAGTCTTATATAAGAAAAGCCATGATCAAGTCTTGTTAAGATGAGTATATACAAAAAAAAGCAAATATGATCTTAGAAGAGATACATGATGGAGTTTGTAGAACTCATGTAAATGGACATTTATGACATCTTCTAGCATAATCCCTACACATTTACAATTCCCAACTCATGTAAATTATGACATTTATGATATCCAACCATAATTAAAAGTCCTATACCAATTACATTTTACCCAAACAGTAGCCCATTTACATTATCATTTACCCAATTAAAACCCTACACATTTACAACTCCCAATTCATTAACAAATAACCCAGTTACAAATAAATTAAACCCAAATTACACCCCATGCCATATTAACCAACCAATTAACCTATTACGCGAGCCCAATCAATTGAAATCCCTAATATCAAAGGGTGTTCATCATTTGAAGCTGCCGCCGCCCAAACTTCAGCCCTTGGATCATTCTCGATCAACACTTCAGATTTGTCACAGCCAGGGTATATGAAACCCTGGCTGCCATCAGTTCCAACCGCCAGCTCCTTACTCCACATCCAGGAGATTGTCCAAGCTGCCAACAAGGTCTCCACGCCAGCTGCACCAACATTCCAGCAGCTTCCAGAACGGGTCCTCGTCACCACCATCGTACAAACAGAAAACAGAATGAAGTTAGAAAGAATTTTTTAGATTTTAATCTCTGTAAATCTATAAATTTTAGGGATTCTAAAACCCAAAACAATTGTAACAAATGGAGAGGCCCCTCGAAAATTTACACGAAGAAGCAATGCAAAGCAGCAAAAAACCATTCGAAAGAGATTCTATTTTCATATTTCAGCAACGATTTTCCATTATTATTCAAGGCATGTTCGAACCAAACAAATAAAATGGGAGAAAGAGAGAGGAATCCAAGAGAATCCTCACCAGAGTAACCCTTAGGGTGCGTTTGGTTCACGGAATGTAAGATTACCAGTGGGAATAAAAGATTACCAGGGAATAGGATTACTGGGAATGTTACATTACTGTGTTTGGTTGATTTGGCAGGAATGTAAGATTACAGTGTTTGGTTGGAGGAATAAAATATTACTGGAATGTATATTTTACCAAATTGTCCTTGTTCTATATTTGTTTTTTAACAAGTGAAATTCTAAATATTTAAATAAAAATTATTTATATAAAAATTCTATTTGTTGATAGTATATTACTTGAGTATTTAAATATATCATGTATTATTTTAATTTTAATTAATATTAAATTTTACATAATTTATGTAAAAATATATTAAAATTTTACATCAACATTTAACTAAATGTTTACATTGTGGAAATTCTTCATATATATTCATAATAATAAAAAGATGTAAATTATTTTTGTTATCTAAGATATAATATTTATTATATCTTCTATATACAATAATTTATTTATTTATCTTTTATATTTATACTTAATTATGCATACTTTATCATTATTATTTATCTCATTAATTTATATTAAAAAAACATAATTCAAATAAGAAAATATAACACCAAAAATCATATTGTCTATAATTTTATATTTTATCGTCATTCATCATTATCTTTGTTAATATTTTAATAAAATATTGATGTCTTCTCATTGTGCTTTAAAATCCATTATTTTTTTGCAATGCTTAAATAAAATAAAACATTGCTTTTTCTGCTGTCTCAATGGATCATGTGTAAATCTTGCATACAAAACAAATACGGCTTAGAGCTATAGAAGTTTTCTTCCTCTCTGGAAACGAAACTAATGGCAAATATGGGTTATGCCATTTGTAATGTAGATTTCGTTGTTTTTTTCTTGGGATGTTTGTCTTTTATTTGTTAGATATAGTTATTTTATCTTCCGTTCAAGTAGATTCGTTTAAAGATCTAACTATTCTTCCAACCTGTATGAACCAAATCTTGGACAAAAGATTTACGTATTGGATCCTGCCCCAACTTGAGTTTGTACATGGTAAAGAAAATTGTTTTTTTTTTCAATTTAATTATAAAATTTTGAAATAGTTTACTATTTGGTGAATAATGATTTGGGTACAAAAGCCACAACCAAATCCATGGACAGATATGTTATCAGATGCATGACATGGAAAAACAAATTATATTACACGGTTGGATTCGATTATTGGTTTCAACTCTCGAGGTGCATGTCGTTTTAATATATTATATACATAAAAGAAAAATTAAGTACCAAAACAGAGCTATAAACATAATCTTTGGCCACCAGAATCACTTTGTATCATGAAGTCTTCCTAAAGACAACTGTTGTCTCTCTAATCTAAAAAGGGAGAGGCAGGGTATTACTTTGCCAAGAAGTCAAAATTCATGCAATCAGAAGGAATTGAAACATAGGATAAGCTGCATACTAACACCCACGTTTTCTGAGTTCAGGTCACAATGGAACCTATTCCCCCGAACCAAATCCAATAGCAAAGAGACTAAAACAGACGAATCATGTTAATCTAACTTATCCAACAATAGTTTAAACATGGAGAAAACATCACCTATTTCCAAATTTCAATACTTCATCACACCAAGAAAAAAAACATCCAGAAACAAGTTTTCTGCAACTTCAAGAAGACAATATCCCACAATAAGCATAGAAAGACCATTGTGCTAAAATCCACCCCAAAATACCCATTTTCATATGGAATTCAACGAAAACCCTTCAAAGAATCACCAGTCTTGCCAGATCTTGCATCAGTCCATGCTTTGGCAATTGTTCTTTTCATATCCTCATCCCCTTCCTCGTACATATTCTGTAATTTACACAAACCGGCATTAATTTAGACATTGGGAATTTGTCAATAAAACACGCCATGAATAAATCATGGAATAAACTTTACCTTCATTAAGTCCATGATTCCGGCCATAGGATCTAGCTCTTTATCCAAGTTTGGCTTCAGCTATGTGAAAATGAAAAATATTATTAATGTAGCTTAGTGGCAAAACACTTCAGGCTTGATTTCAGCATCTGCCATTGAAGGGCATGGACCAAAACAATATCTTGAAGTTATTAATTCTGAACTGATTCCAAGAAAATCGTTACCTGGTAAAAAAAGAAGTAACACAATCAATATGTCCATGAAAAGAATGGCTCCAGTATCATAATTTATTACTTCATATACACTTGAAAACCATTGAATGCCTCTGCGACTTATCTAAAAAATCCAAATCTCACTATCACATTTGACATGGCCAAGTATTATCATAGACCACACACAGATAACAATAAACTCATCTTTCATGATAAATTTAAAAGGCATTAACAGTAAAGTTGTTTCCCTTAAACATGTTATTAACATCACATTGCCTCTAATACTTCGTGAAGAATACATTTTTTTTGCAGGATTCTCAATGATGCACCATCAGACAATGTGTCTCTCAATGAACAGATATAAAATCCCCAAAAATTTCAAAAGTTCAGCTGACCTGTTCAAGATATGAAACTTGTCGCTGGAAAACTTCTTTCTGGCTAGAGCTGGGAATTCCCAGCACCTCAACTCTATCACCTCTACCAAGGTCCCTGAAGTAATCCCTGTATCTTCCAATATCAACAGTTGCAGACATCAAAACCACCCTGGGGAATTCACAGATTTATCATTGAGATTGAGTTAGCGGTTGAGTGACAGAAAAGCATTCCCCAACTCCATGCTGGCTTTAAAATGAACAAATTAAATGGATTTGAAAACAGAAAATAATACATGAAACTGAACGAATATGTTAATCGTTAACCTCAGGTCTTTGTTCTTCAGTAGAAATTGCTTCACACAAACAAGGACAAGATCAGACTCAATGGATCTTTCATGCACTTCATCAAGAATAATAACCTTGTATTTAAGTGCCTGGAATCCCTTATCTCGCATTTCATCCAGCAAAACTCCAGCAGTTTTGAAAACAATCTTGCCCTGTGAAAGAAAAAAAAAGAAATGAACCTGAAATCTAAAATAGATTCTGACAGAAGTAAACAAAATTGCCTAGAAGTGGCGGCGGAAATTGAAGCAGACTGCTTGTACATCAAATCTTTTGTGCATTCATGGAGAAAGGAAAAAAGAAAGAGAAAAAGACAGTAGGAGAAGAATTGCTGGGCTTTAAGCTTCTTCTCGTCATCAGCAGGAGAAGGAATTCTCGTCTTTAGAAGGGCTCCAAGCAAAACCTAATTTGCCAGAAGCAGAAATCAACGCCAAATTGAAGAAGAAGAAAATTTTGTTTCAGCAGAACCAAGCGGGGAGAAGGATATTTTAGGAAGCAGGGGACGGGAATAAGAAAATACCTGAGGGAGATGGGGGAATAACATTCCCGGAGAAACGGAAAAAAAAAACACTGTTGGTATTAATTTTTGACTGGTATTTGAGAAGGTGGAGAAACCAAACGTGGGTATCTTCAACCCGAAAAAAAACATTCCCCGTAGGAATGAAATATTCCATGAACCAAACGGGGCCTTAGTCAAAACCAAACGTGGGTATCTTCAACCCGAAAAAAAACATTCCCCGTAGGAATGAAATATTCCATGAACCAAACGGGGCCTTAGTCGTTGAGGACATCCCGTCGGAGTCAAGGTCGTCGTGGATGGTCGTGGTAGTCAAATAGTCGTGCCTCTTTAGTCGTTTAGCCTTACATGCAGGTTGATGAGCTCGGTTTAAATTTTGGGTAAGATAGAAAAGGATTAAGTTTGAAATAGGGGTGGCCCGAGTAGGAGAACGTTGACGGAGCAAATTTCGTTGTTGAACGGCGGTTGAGAGAAGCTTTGGGGAGGGGTTTGGTGAATCACAGTCGAGAGAAATGAGGATTAGAGGAAAGTGGGATTAGGCTCGATGTGGGGTCAGTTCTTTAAATTATTGTTTTTACTTTTTTGTAATTATTTAAATTTTCACCTCTTATTTTGCATGTTTTCAATTTAGCTTCTTTAGCCTTTATTATATATTGAACTCTTAGGTTTAGATTACTTTTAAGTCCCTAGTTTATATATTTAAGTTTTACATTTTTCCTTAGATTTAGATTTCTCACACTTTAGTCCCTAAACTTCTTAATTTAGGGAATAATTCAATTTGGCCCTCATATTAAAATGTCTCAGGGTCAATTTTAATTATTCGACTTAATAATTGATTAAAATTAATCAAGGGTAATAATTAGACCCTTAATCTTAGATTCTTCACAAATCTAGTCCTTCAACTTTTAATTAGATATTCATTTAACATAATCAACTAGATTAATAATCAGAGCCTCAATTTTAGGTTTAATTTCACCTTAATCATTTAATTTAGGAAATAATTAGATTTGCCTTTCGTGTTAAGATGTCTGATTGTTCAAATTGATTATTTGATATAATAATTGGCTAAAATGAATTAGGATTAATATTAGAGACTTCATTTTCAGGTTTAGTCCTCTAGGTTTTTTATTTTTTCATAATTTGACACTTTAAGTTAATAAAACCTTAATTAACCCACCTAGCATAATTAGGTCTTTAAATGGTTGTCTGGTTGCATATTGATTTTAAAATAATAAGGCAATGCTCAAGGAATTAATAGTGTATCCTCTTTGTTATGGTCAGGGGGTGACCATTGGTAATTCCCAAAGTAAATCGACATCCTTTTCAAAACCTCACATTATGATTTCTTAATCTCTAAGGCACTATTTGTTTATTGTGATCAATAATTGAGCTTTCACATAAATGCTTAAGGGTGAATGTTGTTGATTTCAATAAACGAGTATCATTTTCAAATTTGCATCCATAATGAATTTTAAATTAAATAAAACCTCAAAATTTAAAATTTTCAATTTTAAATATAGGGTAATCAACTAGGTACCAATTTATGGGCACTCTGAGGGTGCTAACCCTTCTCCACACATAATTGACTCCCAAACTTGTTTTCTTGTTTTCGCAGACCCAAATTTGATATTTTCGATAAAATAAAAATATTTTACTAAAATTACCCTTCATTGTATTCCCACCGCACCTTAAAAATGATCGGTGGCTACTCCCAACATTTTATTTCAAAATCATTTCAAAAAACTCATCGTTGCAACTAGTTTGCTTTTTCTCGAAAGGCTGGTTGTGACAACTTGGCGACTCTACTGAGAACTTTTTTTGGAACAAAAATTTAGAGTCGAGCCACGATACGGTTACCATATATTTGGAATTTAGAAATTTTGAGTTTGAATTTATTTAATTTACAATTCATTATGTTTTTAAAAAAATTGAAAAAGATTTTCTCTTTTGTTAGTGCTTTCACTTGATTGAATATATTTAGAACTATTGCATATCATAAGCTCTATACCCAAGCTTCATCCCATTTCACCTAATTAGGGGAAAACGCCACACCATAGGGGAACATTGGTCTTCCTCGTGTAGGTCTGGCAAAATACCTATGGAAAACATTCCAAGTGTCTATTTGGATATTGTCTTCCATGATATACATTTAATAGTGTGATCCCCTAAATTGAATTCGATTCGCAAAGTCTGTAATGGGTCAGAATTGAAGTATTTATTAACCTTATCATGTTGTAAAGACTGTTTGAGAACCTTTTCTATAACCAAACTTCATATAGAGAATTTAGCAAGTCTACCCCTTTAGAGCCATGTAGATACCCTAAGAGAATTAGAATGCATGTGGTTAAGGTTTTGAATTTATTTGTGTTTCATCTACCGTATTTACAATTTTTTTATCAGTTAGATTTTCTTAGTTTCCTTTATTTTTTTTAATTTTACTAACTTGATTTCTTAGTAATCTCTTTGCCTTGCGTGTTTCATTATCATTACATAAACATGACATATCAATATCTTTTGCATTTGTATCCCGCATTTGCATATTCGCATTTGTATTTACCATTACACTTTACTTGTTGTTTTATGGTTCTATATGTCATAACTTGTATCCTCTGTTCTTTTCTTTTCCTTGCATCATATGTTCATGACATACATAAAATGTGTCGATTCGTGAGTTTTCATTGGTTACAAGGTTTTCACGATGAATAAGAGGTTTCTTGATCAAGTAGGCCATGATGTATCTATGAGGTGGCATTGTCAAGACGCTCGGAGAAGAGTAAAATGCCATATGCTTAAAGATCACATATCTGAAAAAGAGCAACGAGAAATACAAGAGATGAGAGAGTAAATGGATATGATGATGAATAGAATAGATGCATTGGCAAAAGAAAAGAGGTTTCTACATAAGAGGGAAAAAGAACAATGAGAACAATCTTTAATGTTAGATACACAAGAGATTACTATAAAATGAGGTGATCCTAGCAAACTAGAAATCACACACTGTCATCGTTAACATCAAGTTGTTATCTGGAGATACCAAGTAAGAGGTCATAACTATAAAAGTTCAAAGAGATGAAGATGAGTCATATGATAAGGATATATTGGTATTTGAGAATCTGTTACCTATGCTAGTGGAAAATAACCTTGTGACTCCAATTCAGTCCAACCTAAAAGAGCCTCCATATCATAAGAGATATAATGTTAATGGCAAATGTAGCTATCACATAGGAAGCTCAGGACACACTACAGAAAATTATGGCGCATTGAAAAATAAACTCAGAGATCGTATCCAAGCAGGGTTGTTGAGTTTCAAGTAACGTAAATTCATGTTCTCTAGAAGTCCAATAGTCATCATAGTGCTTGAAAATGCGAAAACGAAGGATAATTTAAACCCAACTATAGCAACTTAGTTTTCAAACTAGTTCTAAAAACATGTCCTCACTCAACCAAGTCACACCTAAATAATGACTACAAGCTAGAAAGTGGTAGTCTTTGTTTTGATCTTATTCCTATCTCATATGGAGACTTGTATAGTAAGCTGTTGGAAGCGCGAGAAGTGACCCTACAATATGTGAAGCCTTAACCACTTCCATATCCAAAGTGGTATAATGTCAAAGCCAATTATGAATATCATACAGGAACTCAAGGACATTATATAGAGAATTGCATTGCCATTAAGTTTTGAATTCAGTGCTTGTTAGAGAATAAAGTATTGGAGCTTGAGATAAAAGGTCAACCTAGTTCGATATTTAAAGGTCTAGTTGAGGTAGAGCCTAGAGTGTTCAAGGATAAAAGCATTAATGGGGGCATCCAAGACGAAGAGCGTCTACTGAAGTACGAAGCTCAAGTACGTCAGTTGCAAAACGAAAAGGATAATCTGAGTAGAGAAATGGAAGCCATACAAGATGGTTTTCCAAAGAAATAGTCGAGCATTGCAAAATGTTGGTTTAGACGATACTCTAGAGGAATGGGCAAAATGAGTCTCTAAATTAAAGAATGACACTGAACAATGAAAATTAAAAGAAGTGCAAAGTGCATAAAGGTTGAGCTAAGAAGTTATCTCATGATCTACAGATTGTAGAAGGAAAACACAATACAACCTTAAACGATTTAGGGATATGTCAAGCAAAGAATGAGATGTTGAGCACATTGACAAAGATGATACATGATTATAGAAATCTTGCGCAAGAACTTTATAACTGCATCAAGTTACTTACGAGGGAAAATGATCAATATTGTTTGCAACTTCAAGGATTGAAACATAAGGTGGACGAAAAAGACAATGTAATAAAGGAGGCTATTACTCAAGCAAGTGATTGGAGTCACAAGTTGTTCGACTTAGCAGGTTTTGCAAGAGATTAAAGCAAATTGACAACTTACCACCAGATTCTGCTTGGAACTTAACTTGGCTCCTGAAAGAGATAGAAAAGCTATGAGTTAAAGCTATTCATTATCTATAAAGTTTGACCATTTGATGTACTGAAACCGTTGTGTTCAATGAAAATATTTTAAGATGATCACTCTAGAGCAACACCTTTTTTTTACATACATGCATTTCATTTATTTATTTAAATATTTTACAAGAAAAAGTTATAAAACCAAGAAAATAATTCATGGAGGGTTACGTGGAAGTAACACCAAGTTTGTCTAGTCATGGATAAGAGGTCGGAAGCGATAGAGCAATCTTAAGGTGATTTACGAGATCAGTTACAAGATTAGTTGACCTTATTGGAACAAAATGTGATAAATTAAGCATTAAATTCTCAACAAGAAGTATTGCCAATTTTCCCAATTTTCTTTTCTTTTCTATTAAGGTTAAAATAAAGCGAAAAATAACCCATTAGTTCATCTACTTTTAGCATGGATTTATATAATGGTCATTGATTTCTATTTTGTTATTTTTGAATTTGGACATGTTATTCTGTTACTTTTCATTTTATTCATTGGATTATTTCCTTTTAATTTTATCTCGAATATGGTTTTGATTTTTTAATTCTTTGATTTTGGTCACTATTTTATTTACAATTGCAATTTTTTATATATTCTAATTTAATCTCTACTTTAATAGTATTAATAAGATATTAATTCATTAGTTACTAATTCACTAACTTTTAATTATTAAACATTTTTATTCGATTTGTTAACTTTCTATGTTTGTATTTATGTTGTTATATTTCTTGTGCATTCTAATTTAGTTCTTTAAATTCTTGAATTACCTTTTTTAAATATTTAAATTTTTGCCTCTTATTTTGCATGTTTTCAATTTAGCTCTAGATTATTGTAGATTGAACTCTTAGGTTTAAATTACTTTTAATTTAGTCCCTAGTTTAAATATCTAAGTTTTACGTTTTGATTATTCCCTGAACTTCTTAATTTAGGGAATAATTCAATTTGGCCCTCGCATTAAAATGTCTGAGATTCCATTTTGATTATTCGACTTAATAATTGATTAAAATTAATCCGGGGTAATAATTAAAGCCTTAACCTTATATTCTTCACAACATAGTCATTGAAATTTTAACTAGATATTCATTTAACACAATCAATTAGGCTAATAATTAGAGCCTCAACTTTAGGTTTAATTTCACCTTAGCCCTTTAATTTAGGGAATAATTCGATTTGGCTTTCGTATTAAGATGTCCGATTTTTCAAATCAATTATTTGATATAATAATTGTTTAAAATGAATTAGGATTAATATTAGAGACTTCTCTTCTTATACACACAAGGGTTATCCTATTAAGCTCTTACGAAGACTCGATACATAACCTCAAGGTCTAACTCGATCACTAAACTTTATCAAAAATTGAATAAGAAACACCACTTCCAAAAAACTATTAGGAGCTTATCAAGTTTTGAAAGCATTTATTTATCAAAATGATTAAAAGATTTATCGAATCACTTAGGGAAAAATCATTTTAAAATTACAAGTAAGAAATTATCAAAACTAAGAAGACTTTAACTTATCGGGATAATGAAAAGATCTGTAAGATCAATCTATACTTAAAATACACATCAAGATATCGGAGGTCAATTCAGAATCCTTAAAAGTGTTGAAGTATCCTAACGGCATCAATACCAAAATAACTCACTTGATTTTTTTTTAAAATTTTGAGATATTGGTACTCTATCTTGAGTATTGATACTACCCTTCATCAGTATCGGTATCAACCTTAGGCATCAATACCAAAATAACTCACTTGTTTTTTTTTAAAAAAATTTTGAGAGGTTATATGATATTGATATCATATTAACAATATCGATGCTTGTGAATAACAATATTGATACTACATAACATTTTATTTATTTATTTTCATGTACTTCTCTAGGATCAATAAATATTGATATTGTTTCAACATTATCAATATCAAATCTAAATTTTAACATTTTTCAGTTCGAGAACCCTTTTAACCATATCCCCAGTCTATTTTGAATCCTCCAATTGTCACTTAAGGCCACTACGGGCAACCATGCATCATCTATCACTAATAACATTAGTCTTCAACTTCTTGGTCTAAGGTCAAATCAAACGAAACTTAATACTATCATTTAGCTTATATAATAAAATTTTAGAAGACATACCTTTATCAAAGTAATAAAAGGTTATATCAAATGACTCTAGCCTTAGGACACATCTAAGAATGTCACCGATGAAATCAACCATAGAGACGACAAGATAATATTGAAGTATCAAGTTTTATAATATCTACAAAGACATTCACCATAGTGAGCAACCTCAAAGGTACGAATACGATTCATATAAGGAACCAACTCTTAACAATCAAGATATCTTATTAGACTTGTTTCGCGAGTCATATCAACTTAGGAAATAAGTGCTTATTATTATTATTTTAACTCAATTAACTTTTTATAGTTCACATGAAATCTTAGCACCAATTCGTATTGTGCTCATGTTAATAGAAATAATGATTGTTGCATACCCTGATAATCGAGATGTGGCTATGAGAAAGTTTTCGTCTTTATTCTATGTTTACAATACTAACTATAGAAGACTGTCTGAATCAATATCTCAATCGTAAGAATCATTTATCACTTTTCAAATATTTTCAATCTTATTCATGTCTTATCACTAGAGTATTAGCTTTCATTCTACTTCCATAATATCACCATTATCATTTTTTTTTCAAATGCACTTTTATTAATGGAGAATCACTTCATTCTCTTATTTATGAAAAGATTAATTTCAATCTCTCTATTTATTTATTTATTTATTTATTTTTACATATTTTAATATATTATATATATTTTCGATGGGAAGTTTACCCTAAATTTTCAATCACTTTAAAGCATTTATCCAATCTATCTATCTTTACACTTTTATTGATCAAAGCTGCATAAAAACTTTCGAACCAACGATGAGAGAATAATATCATAGTCTCAGTTTTCGAGTATCTTTTTGATCTGGGCATGTAGGACTCAAACAAGTTATCCAATAATCGACTAAGCTCTTATACCAATAAATGTAACACCCTCGACCTAGCCCAGGAACTATACCAACTAAATTTATCATCCACCCAGAGTGAGAATTATACCCGAATAAAAAATATCACATTGGGTCACAAAAGTGTTCCTTCATTTCCCATTTTAGTACAACAACTATAAACTTTTATATGTATATTTTTCTTATATTTAGTCGTTGGGTGTGTATCTCGTGCGAAGCATCACCTTCCTCTAGGTGCTATCGTGTGACTCACCGGATGTAAAATAAATGATTAGGTGCTCCCGTGCGAGACACCCGGAATAATTATTCGTACGGTAATATATATATCGATTATCGATACTACCTTTAACATCATTGTCTTTCGTTCAATACATTACCCAATCATCAATGATCTTCACTTTCTATATGTTATCAAATTAGTTCAACAATTAGAATTATCCAAGCTTAGCAATATCGGTACTCATATGAGAGTATTGAAACCACACTTGGCAGGTATCGATACTCAAACAATTATCGATACCAAAATAGCATAATGAAATTCTCAAATTTTCCAAGTCTTTATAGAGTATTGATTCTCTCAATTTTGGTATTGGTACTCCCTCATTAGTATCGATACTTATAACTTCGATACCAATACCACACTGATACCTTACCCAGATTTTCCTATAAATCTCCTCGGTACTGGTAAAACCACTTTTGATCCTTCAAAATCTAACTTTATTTCATTTGGGTCTATAAATCCTAAAATATTTAACCTCGAAATTGAATAACATAAAAATTTGAATCCATGAATTATTGGTGTCATATAACAGAAATTTTAATGAAGAACAAACTTGTATTTAATATAAAAAACCTAAAAGTGGAAAATCTAGGACTAAAATAGCAAAATTTGTTACCTTTCCTCCTTTTTTTTTAATTCTTCTTTCATGGCTGGCCTTTTCCTTTGGAAAATGTAGAAGACTCCTCCCGTTTGTTTCTCTCCATTTCCCCCTTTTAAAAAATCAGGCCCTCTCCCAAAAATATCTTCCAAAACGTGTGACTCCCATGTTTTGAATAATATACTTTATATTATTTCTCTTAATCAAACACTCATCTATCTTACATCTAATAAAATGTTATCTTAATTAATATCAATATTATAATTTTATAATCATCTAATGATATTCAATATTCGATCATATTCGAACATAAAATACCACATATTTATAAAATAAAAAATTTTAAAAATAAATTTCAATTTATATTTAATAAAAAATATTAAATTTTAATCAAATTTTCAAAATTCTGGACATTATATATATATATATATATTTCTCCACACGTTTTTAATTGTTTCTAGGTTTATTTTTATCTCCTTTATTATATGATACTAAGATTGTTGCATTATTTTTAATATAACAAAAAGGGGAGAAGTGAGTATAAAATGAATAATAATTTTTTAAAATTAAAATTAGAGCTTAAAATTTTTCATAAATTCTTGAATTGTTTTATTATTTTTCAAATGGGAGCATTTTTTTTAAAAAAAAATTCAAAAAGTTTTGTTATATCAAAAAGGGTGAGACTGTTGAATTGAGATTTTGATATAACAATTAATTGCAAATTTAATTTTGGACTTAATTGAATTTATCAAAAATTTATAAAACAAAATTCAAAGTCCAAATTAACTTGAAAATATCGATCCCTTCACAAAAAGTTCGATCCCTCAAGGAAAAGGATCGATCCCTTCATCAAAAAGATCGACCCCTCGATGAAAATGATCGATCCCTTCCCCTAAAAGATCGATCCCTTTCTTGAAACAGCTGAATTATTTGAAAAATGATCAACCTCTTTCATCAAAGGATCGATCCCTTGTGTATTAAATGTTGTTTTTGGTTGTAGGTAACGGCTCCAAATGGCTAGAATTGATGGAGAAGATATAAATTGAAGGTCACAGCTTCCCAAGGTCTACAAGAATCATATTGAACCAACCTACCAACATCAAAGTATTCTTTTGTGCATAAATTATCAAATTCTTTGTTACAAACACACTTGTGAGCTACATTGTTTATTTTTCTCAAGTGTGTATTGGGCCAGTGTTTAATTTGTGTAAACTAATTTGCCTTTGTGGCACGAACCAAGTGGCTTCTGTGGTAAAGGAATTGTTATCATTTCTTGAGGACTCAGGTTCGAGCACCATATATGTCAGGGGTGTAAGCGTTCAATGTCGAAAGGTTGAGAGTTATCTTTAAACATATATTGTCTTGTACTTACCATATATTAATTAAAAAATATATTTAAAAAAATAAATTTCCTTTGTGAGATTTTCTTTTGTTTTCTAAATTTGTATTTACTCTTTGATAGAGTGTGTATTCAAGGTTTTGGGGTATAAACCTTGAAGAGTTTGTAAGGTTACACCTTGTGCTTGAAGGTAAGCAAATCTAGTGGAATTAAGAAATCCTTAGTGTGGATGCTAAGGTAGTGGATGTAGATTTTGGTTTAGAAAAGCTTAACCACTTTAAATTGCTGTGCAAATCTTTTCCTTTTTTGGTTGTATTCACCCAAATTGACCCCCTCTTGGCATATTTCGGTTTTTCGTAAGAGCTAACATGATCGTTATGTTTGGATCAAATTTTTTAAAAGAATTTTAAGTTTGGGTTAGGTAAGGTTGAGTTTCTTTGGAATATAGGATCGGGGTAGGCGAGGTTCGGGTTTACTGTAACATCCTCAATACCGGGTTAGTGACTAAATTGTAAAGTTATGGAATTTGGTACTTAAAGTAGAATAATTGATTAGTTCAAGGACTTATATGAAAATGTTGTGTAGGATTAAATTTCAAAGAATTAAGATGGGAAGGACAACATGGTCATTTTGTTAGTAAATAATTAAATTTGGTTAGATATATATGGAGGCCACGTGTATGAGAGGAAGCAAATATCCAAGCTTCCAGACAACTCTTCTCCTCCTTTCTTCTTTGTGCGTGTGAGCCAAGGTAAATGTAGGAATTCTTATTAGTTGATTAATAGTTGAGATTTAAGTTTGGTTTTGATCATTAGACGATAATTAAGCTTAAGGAACTCTTAATTTATCTTAAAACAACAAGATGAAGGGTGTAGGAAGAATTAAAGGTTAGGAGTTCTTGAATGAAATTTTGAAATAAAGTTCATAATGAGAATTGGAAGTTGAATTTTCCTTGTCACCAACTTGATTAAGGAATATGAAGTGTTATAATTAGATTTAGAACATGTTAGAATTTGAGTGAGATTCTTGAATTCTATGTGAAGGATTGGATTTTTAAGTTTAAGAGGTATTGAATGAGTATAAATTAGTTTAAGTAGGTGTATGCAAGTTAGAGATATTAAAGGAGGTGAAATATGAAGTTTTGAGCTAAAAAGGAAGCAAATTTTGTGCTCAAAATGTAATTTTTGGGCAGAGGGTATCAGTACCCTATGAATGTGAATCGATACCCCCTTGAACAAAAATGTTATTTATATACAGATCAGAAGAGTTTAAAGTATTTGATGAATCAGAAAGAATTGAATTTAAGACAAAGAAGAAGGGTGGAATTTTTAAAGGATTACGATTTAGTAATCGATTTCCATCCAGGGAAAACAAATGTGGTAGCAGATGCTTTAAGTCAAAAGACGTTTGTAGCATTACGAGTTTTGGATGCCAGACTATCGTTAAGTGGAGACGGTGCAATATGTGCAGAGTTAACTCTCAAGCCATCATGATTAGATCGAATTAAAGAATTACTAGCTAGAGATGAAAAGTTTTCAAAGAAGCTACATCAGATTAGGAATGGAGAGGTTACGGATTATGAATTAAAGACTGATGTGCACCTATATTATCAAGGGAGGCTAGTGATTCCTGATAATGATGAATTGAAGGAAGACTTGTTAACGGAAGCTCACTGTAGCCCATTGAATATGCATCTTGGAAGAAATAAAATGTATATGGATCTCAAGAATCAATATTGGTGGCTTGGAATGAAGAGGGACATTACGGAATTCGTATCTAAGTGTTTGACTTGTCAGCAAGTCAAAGCTGAGCATCAAGTTCTTTCAGTATCATTGCAACCAATTTCGATTCCTCAGTGAAAATGGGAGAATGTAATAATGGATTTTGTAACGGGGTTACCTTTAACTCCGAACAAAAGAGATTCAATCTGGGTGATCGTAGATAGATAGACTAAGTCAGCTCATTTCATTCTGGTGCGAACTGATTTCTCCATGGATAAATACGCTGAGTTATATATAAGGGAGATCATTAGATTGCATGGAGTGCCTATTTCCATAGTTTCTGATCAGGATCCTCGATTTACTTTGAGATTCTGGAAGACATTGCATGGAGCATTAGGCACTCGACTGAATTTTAGTACATCATTTCATCCTTAAACAGATGGACAATCTGAGCGAACTATCCAGATTTTGGAGGATATGCTGAGAGCATGTGTTATAGAATTCAAAGGATCGTGGGAAAAGTACTTTCCACTTGCTGAATTTGTGTTCAACAATAATTACCAATCAAGTATTAAAATAGCTCCCTATGAGGCTTTGTATATGAGGAAATGTCTTACACCTTTGAATTTGTATGAACTTAAGGATCGAGAAGTTCTTGGTCCTGAATTGATTTAAGAAGTGGAAAAGAAAGTGCATGTGATCAAAAGTAATCTCAAAACAGCAACTGATAGACATAAATCGTATACAGACTTAAAAAGAAAAGGAATTAAGTTTCAATTCGGAGATAAAGTGTTTTTAAAAGGGTCTCTATTGAAGAAGTTTTTGAGGTTTGGCCGAAGAGGAAAATTGAGTCCTCTGTTTATTGGCCCTTACGAGATCATAAAGAGAGTTGGACTAGTGGCATATCAACTAGCGCTGCCACCTGAAATGGAGAAAATCCATGATGTCTTTCATGTCTCAATGCTTTGGAAATATTGGTATGATCCCTCCCACATTGTGACTCCAAAAGAGATCGAGATTTAACCAGATTAGACGTATGAGGAAGAACCGATTCAAATCTTAGCTCATGAGATTAAACAACCAAGGAAAAAGACTATTCCATTAGTTAAAGTTTTATGGAAGAATCACAAGATAGAGGAAGCAACGTGGGAACGTGAAGAAGATATGAGGAACCAATACCCCCATCTCTTTGCACAATGAAAATTCGAGGATGATTTTTCTTAAGGGGGTAGATTTGTAGCATCCTCAATACCGGGTTAGTGACTAAATTGTAAAGTTATGGAATTTGGTACTTAAAGTAGAATAATTGATTAGTTCAAGGACTTATATGAAAATATTGTGTAGGATCAAATTTCAAAGAATGAAGAATGGAAGGACAACATGGTCATTTTGTTAGTAAATAATTAAATTTGGTTAGATATATATGGAGGCCACGCGTATGAGATGAAGCAAATATCCAAGCTTCCAGACAACTCTTCTCCTCATTTCTTGTTTTTGCATGTGAGCCAATGTAAAGGTAAGAATTCTTATTAGTTGATTAATAGTTGAGATTTAAGTTTGGTTTTGATCATTAGATGATAATTAAGCTTAAGGAAAGCTTAATTTATCTTAAAACAACAAGATGAAGGGTGTAAGAAGAATTAAAGGTTAGGAGTTCTTGAATGAAATTTTGAAATAAAGTTCATAATAAGAATTGGAAGTTGAATTTGACTTGTCGCCAACTTGATTAAGGAATATGAAGTGTTAGAATTAGATTTAGAACGTGTTGGAATTTGAGTGAGATTCTTGAATTCTATGTGGAAGATTGGATTTTTAAGTTTAAGAGGTATTGAATGGGTATAAATTAGTTTAAGTAGGTGTATGCAAGTTAGAGATATTATAGGAGGTGAAATATGAAGTATTGAGCTAAAAAGGAAGCAAATTTCGTGCTCAAAATGTAATTTCTGGGCAGAGGGTATCGGTACCCTATGAAGGTGTATCGATACCCCCTTGAACAAAAAAAATAACAGAATGCAATAAGG